CTTCTCCACGAACGGCAGCCAATCGTCCCGAATCGTGGAGGCGGCGTGATCTGTCTGCTTCAGCGGATACGCCCACATTAGCCTGCTCCAGTCATCCACTATGGTTAAGAAGTACCGCTCCCCCTTGTGCCCTTGCACCGGCAGCGGCCCCACCAAGTCCATGTGGACCAGCTCCACGGCTTTTTGCTCCTGCAGCCACACTATGGAAGGGAAACGGGTAAACTTTGAGAGCAAACAGATTTCACAGTTATCATCGGGTGGTTGTCCGTTCAGCTTCAAGCCCTTAACGGCTCGCATCCTTCTCCAGCTGCTTCAGCAAAAGGCATTGCCACATGCCCCAAGCGTCGGTGTGCCGTTGCCCAATCCGTCTCCCCAGATCTGGCCGACACTTTCACACCACCCCCTCCAACGGCGTTGCATCCCCACTGGGATGCAGACCCCTCTCTAGCCTGCCCCTCACCATGCCACGCCAGCGCCGGCAGCTGCCCACATGGATCTGTACACGTCCTTGCTCTCGTGCAGATCCCAAAGCACCCGATTGCCAGCTTCCCCTTATAAGTGCGAGCCCCATCCGTGTTGGTGTTCACCCCAGCCTTGCCAAGCTTACGGAGGGAGATGAGGTTGGCCTTCAGGTCGGGGACGAGGAGAACGTCGTGCAGCACCACCGGCTTGCCATCCGCTCCCTTAAATGCAGCTCGTCCCGCACCAGCCACCTTCAACATGTGTCCAGAGGCAGAGCACACCTCATTAATCGGTGCAGCGCGTACGTCGTCCAGCAGGTCCTTGCGCGGCGTCATTGTCCAAGCAGCGCCTGTGTCCAACACCCAATAGTCCAGGGGGTGCAGCTCTGCTCCAGCCTTAGCAGAGGCGTCTCCTTGCTCCCCCTTGTCTCCCATATGGAAGAATTGGCCCGCGGTGCGCTCCTTCTTCTTCTCCGCACCGCCGTTGCCCTTTGGGTTGTTGTCGGACGAATCAGCGATCATGTTGGCACCGTTTTTCTGGTTCCTCCGCGCGCCGCCATCCTGGTGACGATTCTGGGGGGTCCATCCATCGGGTTTCTTATAGCACAAAAACCAGGGGTGCCCTTCCTTCTCACAATACCAGCAACTCCCTTTCATTTTGCCACCAGCACCCGACTTGCCCCCACGTCCAGATTTTGCACCGCGACCCCAACCGGTACCTCCTTGTTGGTCGTTGGAGTCGTCGTCTTTCTTTGCACCGCGTCCAGCATCACCGAAGCCACGTCCTTTGCCACGTCGGCTCCCTTGCATCCCGTAGCCGCTGCTGCCGTCGTCTCCACCCCTCAGTTGGCGGCGACGGAAGTCCTCCTCCAGAATCTTCGTCCGCACCCACTCGAGTGTCCACAAGCTCTGGTTCTGCGGCAGGCTCAATCCGCTCGTAAATTGAAGCCACGATTCCGGCATCAGCGAGAGCATCTTCAAGCACTTTGTTTGCTCCGGGTAGGTGATTCCTGCGGTCGCCAACTTCGCGTAGAGGTCGCGCAATTTGTCCAGGACAGGTTGCACCGGCTCTCCCTCGCTCAGGCGCAACGCGGACAGCTCCCTCTCCAGCATCAATGTTGCAACAACGGAGGTCGGGGAGTGCAGCTCCTTCAACACCGTCCACGCCTTCGGAACCGCACTCAACCTCCGGCAGCAGGTGCATGACGTGGTGACGCTGGTTCAGCTCCAAACTCTGCGGACATCAAGTAGTAGCCAGCCGAGGCGCGCTCGTCCCAATCTTTCCTGAAGGGCGGGGTCACTCGGTCTCTAGGGCTCCTCCCCAATCATTAGTTTTCAGCAATCCGATTTGACGGAAATAAAGTTGCATTTTCCAGGCCCAATCATCATAGCCCTCACCATTGAACTTCTCGACGGTGTGAAGTTTCTTCAGCACCTCCTTGATCAGCGAGCCCTGGCTTGTTTCGCGCTCCCCTTGGGCAGGAAACACCAGAATCATGGCTGCCGCTACGATCTTGGGCTGAAGATTCACCAGCTACCGCCGAGGTGTTGCCCGCCCATAGCTACCTATATCGAGGATCACTATAACGCAGCTCTGATACCAGCTTGTTGGTGTAAGGGCCTAATAAACTCAAGCTATTAAGACTTTATCACACTTAAAACCTCTCCTCGGGGTCACTTCCAAGGGTCCTTGGGTGCCTGGTACAAGACCAGCCCCTATCCTCGGGTCCGAGTTTTGTAGAGAGAGGGATCAAGAGGGACTTAGTCAAAACAGCAAGAGTACCTTGAACGTTGCGCAGCGTATCGTGCAGACCGTCGATCGGATTAAGCTGAGAATTTCGTATATCGAAGCTCACTCTAAGAGCTTTAAAATAAGCCAAGTTGCCTCGCGAAAGAGTTCTGCCAATTACGAAAGTTATGGCTCGGACAGCGTTAGCCTAGCGTTGGGTAGTGCTAGCGTACTAGCGTTGACTCGGGTACGCATTCCGTATTGTCTTCGTCGCACCGCGTAGACAAGAAAATTCCAGCAAGGAAGGAATTCGCTGAATCAATTTCACTATATTCAGGTACAAACAGAGAAGGAATAAATAGCTCTAGCTAGCAAGGACATTGGGAATCAACCTGGGAACAACCAGGGATGATCCCAAATAATTCCAAGCAACAGAAACCAACCTGGCTGGACACAATAGACACGGTGATAGGATTGAGTGACACACCCTCCTGGTTCTGTTTTTCCAACCTGGGAGAAAATACAAAACCCCCCAGGCAATTCAGAGTACCTAAAACAGAACCTGTTTTGGTCTTTGGCCCAACCAGCCAAATGCTGGGTTCCGCCTGGTTTCCCCTCTGGGCCCTGGAGCATGCAGATACAGACAACAACATCCCAACCTTCACCTAAATTGTACCCCTATAGTGCCTGCCCTGCTACACTATAGTCACCAACACAAAACAGTACAATTTCGAGGTTGGATAGAACTGAATCTGCGCAACTCAAGTAAGTTGAACCGCCAAAGCTTCCATCTTGGGTTCCTTTGCGAGCTCGTTCTTTCTGCTTGTACTGTTCATAGCGCGTACATGTTATGCCGAAGCGCACATTGTGCGAGTACCTGCAAATGCTATCAGCGAAAATTGCGAAAGCAAACAAACACACAAACATCCCATTCACACGCAAATGCATTCGCACACGCATACTCGTACAAACAGACCGGCAGGATGTCGTGCAATGTGAATTTGCACACCCAACACGTCGCACTCCTCCCGCATGCATTTCGTCACCCACCCAGGTAACCTGGGCGACCGACCCAGGGCAACCCAGGTCCGATCCAGCAAGCTCCGTACGTGAACCGTCGACCTCCCAAGTCAACTGACCGCCTCCACGTCGACCTCACCAGGTCGACGACACCATCAGTCGACTCCTCCAGGTCGACGTCCCCTCTGGCTCGACCAGCTCACGTCGACCAGCACAGTGCCGTCGGCCGACCACCCCCACAGTCGGCCACCCGAAGCTGGCGTCACGAAGTTGACGCCCCGCTACTCGACGCCCAAACTGCTAGGCGTCCTGAGTCGAGGTCGTACGTCGGCCCTTCCTTCGTCGACCAACCAGGGTCCAGTCGACCACTAAACAGGTCGACCAGCAGTCCGTTAGACCCGACCGACGAAGTCGGCTTCCCCAAGTTGACGTAACCATGTTGACCGTCCATCCGCAGGTCGAACTACACAAGTCAACCTCCTGAAGTCGGCAGCCCCGGTGCAGTTGGTCCCTCGTGCAGGTCGACCTCCTCGTCGACCAACTCACCCACTGCTGAAGGTCGGCTGCTCCTCTTGCACCCCGACCACGAAGTCAGCTCCGCCCAAGCGAGGACGGGGCCAATACCCAACTCCCGTTGACACTCCCCTGCCGCGTTCACGCTTGGGCACCCAGCCCACAACGGCAGTACAGCTCGGAGACTAGCTCGTCGACGTGCACCCAACTCATAGCACGTCGTCCACCGCACCAGCCATGCAAAAGGGCATGGCACCTACTGCTGCAACGTCGTCGACTTCGTTGCCAACGTCGGCCCAAGCGCACCTGGCCGATGGCGACGGAGCACCGGTTGAAGGCCGGATAGTGCAGCGACTTCGTCAGGAAGTCGGCCGGCTGCTTAGCGGTCGGGAATGTACTGCAGCGAGAACTTCCCGCGCTTCACCATGTGCTGCAGCCAGGTCCTGTCGCCGCTCCATGTGCTTGAGGTTGCCTGTCAACCCCATGCCCTCGGCGACCGTGATGGCCGACTTGTTGTCCACACGCAGGACGGTCGGCTTCCCCGGCGTCTAGCTGCTGGAACTCTGCAAGAAGGAAGCGAAGACGACGTCCTCCTTGCCAGCTTCAGTGGCCGCCACGTACTCAGACTCGGTCGATGACAATGTCGCGCACCTTGATGCGCTGGCTCCTCTTGCACCCGACCACGAAGTCAGCTCCGCCCCCAAGCGAGGACGGGGCCAATACCCAACTCCCGTTGACACTCTTCCCCTGCCACTGCTGCACTTAGCCGCCTCATCCTGCCAGTACCTCTTCCCTGACCTCGCCGCTTTTTCCACAGTCGCTGACCTCATTACGCACCTGCGCACTAGTGACCCATCGCTACCGCGCTGCCCTTCCTCCTGAGTTCTGCGCCAAGAACCCCCCCCCTATGTTACAATCACACTACTATACGTACGTCACCCGGCTCCCTGACACTCTACGCCCGGTCAGGGACCCACTTTCTCTCTGTTTGCCCCACCACCCTCACCGTTGACCTCCTCGAGGAGCGCCTCATAGCAGCCAGAGAAGAGCATAGTCGCTGTAGGAGCCTCTCGTGGTGACCCTCGTGCCCCTGTCTTTGAGGGGTGCTTCCCCCTCTCCTCATCTGACCTCTGTTGCCTCTACTGCTGCGGCCGACCTCGTTGGTCTTGAGTCGGTCGGTGCTGCGTCTGCCCCTAGCGGGAGACGCCGCACTGGCAAGGGCAAGGGGGGCATAGGCGCATGAGGAGCTAGCGGGGGCGGTGGAGGCGGCGGAGGGGTTAGGGGTGGCGGTGGGGGTGGTGGCGGGGGTGGGGGGCGTCGGTGGTGGCAGTGGAGGCGGAGGCGGCGGCGGCGGTGGCGGTGGGAGCGGAGGTGGTGGAGGTGGCGGCGGTGGAGGAGGCGGCGGCGGAGGAGGGGAGCTGGTCGGGGTGGCGCTGCGCAGAGGGTCGGCTCCGGTGGTGGTCAGCGCCAGCAGCAGCAGCAGCAGCGAACTCGTGAGATTCCCCCCCCTCAGCAGCTTCGTGAGTGGTTACGCTGCACGCCAGCGGGGGTGGAGGTTACCGTGCACCTACGTCCTACGCACCGGCGACCGCGCGGGTGAGCCGTGCGGGGGTGCACCACTCCACCCAGCGCTGCTTTGGCCGCCTGACGGACGCTTGGCGTCACCAGTTCCCTGAGGCCACTGAGATCCCTCGCTGGGGCGAGCTGTCTAGGGCGGGGGTAGCTATCTTTGACCTTGACTTTGATGCTATTCTTGCTGCCATGTATGCTGTGACTATTAGTGATGAGGGTGACTGTTACCGGTGTTTTCCCGCCCGACTCGGGCATTGGGACTACTGCTCTAGGTACTGGTGAGGCTGCTGCTCTAGGTGCTAGCGAGGCTGCTGCTCTAGGTGCCAGTGCGTCTGCTTCCTCAAGTGCTGGTGAGTCTGCTCTCTTGGGTACTGCGTCGGCTCCGGCCTCCCACACCTTCACCCTTGACTCGGGGGCTTCTCGCTCCTTCTTTCGAGACCGCACCACACTCACGCCGCTTGGTCGGCCAGTTGCAGTCTCTCTAGTAGACCCCTCTGGGGGTCCTCTGCCCTTGCTTACTTCTCCATTGTCCTCCCGTGTCCGGCGGGCCCCCCTCTGGCACCCTGTCTGGTCTTTACCTCCCCTCGTTCTCTACGAACTAGGTGAGTGGTTGCTGACCTACAGGATGCGGGGGTTCACCAGTTCACTCCTTCGAGCCAGCGAGTGACCCATTGCACGGACGCTCGGACGGGCCGACACTTGGCCACGTTGATCGACTGGATCCGCGCAGCTCGTCTCCAGCAAAGGAAGAGTTTCGGCTCGGACTTTCCTGTTCTGCGTCTGCACTCTGACAGAGGCGGAGAGTTTTCCTCTGGCCTTCTGCGAGCCTACTGTCTGTGCACGAGGCATCCGCCAGACCTTCACGCTTCCGGACTCTCCACAGCAAAATGGGATTGCTGAGCGCCGCATTGGCATGGTCATGGACGTCGCCCGTACGTCCATGATGCATGCGGCTGCCCCCTATTTTCTGTGGCCGTTTTGCGGTTCGGTACGCGGCGCATCAGATCAACATTCAGCCCAAGGTCTCCATTCCGGAGACCTCCCCAGCTTTGCTGTGGACGAGGAAGGTTGGCGATGCGTCTGCGTTCCGTGTCTGGGGATCTCGGGCGTTTGTCCGCGATTTGTCTGCGGACAAGCTGACCCCTCGTGCTTGCTACCTGCGTCTTCCTTGGCTTCCCCCCCTGACGCGCCAGGGTGGCAGTTCTACCACCCCAACCTCTCGCCGTGTTCTGTCCTCCCAGGACGTCACGTTTGACGAATCGGTCCCCTACTACCGTCTCTTCCCCTACCGCACTCCGTCCCTCCCCCCGCCACCGCTCTTTCCTTGTGCCAGGTCCCCCACCGGTAGACCCCCTTCCCCCTCAGGGTCCTGCCCCTTCAGGTGTGTCCCACGTAGACGCAGTCGAGCCTGTGGAGGTCGCTGGTGAATCTGGTGCTGCTAGGGGTGCTGAGCCTGGGGGTGCTGACTCTGGGGGTGCTGAGCGTGTGGGTGCTACGCCTGGGGGTGCTGAGCCTGAGGGTGCTACGACTGGGGGTGCTGAGCCTGGGGGTGCTGAGTCTTGGGGTGCTGAGCCTGGGGGTGCTACGACTGGGGGTGCTGAGCCTGGGGGTGCTACGCCTGGAGGTGCTGAGCCTGGGGGGTGCGGAGCCTGAGGGAGCTAGGCCTACTCGTGTGGCGTCTGGCGGTGCTGGGACTGGAGGTTCTCCGGGTGCTCCGTCTCGACGGGAGCCACTCTCTCCACAGGAGGTGCCGCGAGTGATTTGCTCGGCGCTGGAGGCGTGCTGCTGGAGCTGGAGGTTCTTCGGCTGCTGAGGGTGCCGGTGCCATGGGTCCCGGAGGTGCTCGTACTGGGAGTACTGGAGCTGCTGGGCCTGCGGGTACTACTGGAGCTGGAGACAATGCGTCTTCTCGTGGTCCGAATGGAGCTGAAGCTGCTAAGGGTATTGGCGCTGAGGGTACTGCTGGCGGTACTGGAGGCGGTCCTGCTGGGGGTGCTACTGGTGCTGCTGGAGGTCCTGGAGCTACTGGAGCTGCTGGGGGTACTAGAGCTGGAGGTGCTGCTAGCGGTGGTGCTACCACTGGGGGTACTGGTGCTGTCCTTGCTGTGTCTGGAGTCGCTGCGCGGCCTCGACCGTACTTCGTTCCTCTCCTTGAGCAGGTTCTTGGTCTCCCGCCTTCTAGTGGTCCTCCTCCCTTAGAGTGTCCACAGCCTGTCCCGTCACAGTTACAGTTACAACCGGCCTACCCACTGCCTGCTCCTTCTCCCTACACTGGTCCTACTGGAGGTCTTGCTGAGCGTCGTGAGCCTGCGTCTCGTCCTGCGTCGCCTGTCTGTGCTGCTCGCGCTAGTGGTCGTGGTTCGCGTCAGCGTCCTCCCCCCTGTGCCCGGAACGCACCGGATGTCTCTCCGTCCGTCCACTGCTCCTCTGCGTGCCCCTTTGCTACTGTTGTCACTGACCCTTTCTTTGAGTCCACTGCTGCGTCTGCCCTAGTTGCTGAGCTCGTCGACTTTGCTGCTCGCTGTCGCCTAGACTACGCCGCTAGTCTTGTTGCTGAGTCTGAGTCTGTCTGTCCTCTGTCCGTCGGGGGTGAGTGTGCCCTTGGCACGTTCGTCCTTGAGGACAGGCAGGAGGAGTTCCATTGTTTGGCTGCTGCTTCACCTCATCTCGTGTCCGTACTGCTTACCCCTGAGGGAGACCCGGATGCACTTGACATCCCGACTCCGCGCTCTTACGCGGAGGCGATAGAGGGTCCCTACTCCTCTCAGTGGCAGGCAGCTATGGACGCAGAGATGGCTTCCTGGAAGTCTACAGACACCTACGTTGACGAGGTTCCCCCGCCTGGGGCGAACATCGTCAGTGGCATGTGGATTTTCAGGCTGAAGCGGCCGCAGGGTTCTCTGCCTGTCTTCAAGGCGCGTTACGTGGCTCGTGGCTTCAGTCAGCGGCAGGGAGTTGACTACTTTCAGACCTTCTCTTCCACCCCGAAGATGACCACTCTTTGGGTACTGCTACACATAGCTGCTCACCGTGACTACGAGCTACACTCTCTTGACTTCAGCACTGCTTTCTTGCAGGGCAGCTTGCACGAGGAGATCTGGTTGCGCCGCCCACTTGGCTTCACTGGGACTTTTCCTCCTGGCACCCAGTGGAGCCTTCGGCGGCCAGTCTACGGTCTCCGCCAGGCACCGCGTGAGTGGCACAACACACTGAGGACTACGCTTGCGGCTCTTGGGTTTGCTCCCTCTACTGCCGACCCGTCGCTGTTTCTGCGCACTGACACTTCTTTGCCGCCGTTCTACATCCTCGTGTACGTCGACGACTTGGTCTTTGCCACAGCTGACACTACTGGACTCGCCCACGTGAAGTCTGAGCTGCAGAAGAGACACACGTGCACAGACCTGGGTGAACTGCGCAGCTACCTTGGCTTGCAGATCACCCGGGACAGAGCACGCCGCACCATTACCTTGACTCAGTCACACATGGTGGAGCAGGTTCTTCAGCGCTTTGGCTTCATGTACTCCTCGCCTCAGGCCACTCGTCTGCCTACTCGCCATTCGCTCTCATCTCTGCCTTTGGATGAGTCCGTAGAGTCGAGTGGCCCGTATCCAGAGCTTGTTGGCTGCCTCATGTACCTGATGACCTGCACACGACCTGACCTTGCATACGCTCTTAGCATTCTCACACGCTATGTTGCTCCTGGGAGACACAGACCAGAGCATATGGCTGCAGCGAAGAGGGTGTTGCGCTACTTGTGCAGTACGTCGGGCATGGGGCTTGTGCTTGGAGGGCAGAGTCCGATGGTCCTCACAGGGCACGCAGACGCTTCTTGGGCTAACGACCAGGCTACGCAGCGGTCGTCACAGGGTTACACCTTCAGCCTTGGTTCCGGCTCTGTTTCGTGGCGGGCTACCCGCTCGTCTTCTGTTCTCGGCTCCAGTTGTGAGGCTGAGATCTACGCCGGGGCCATGGCTGCACAGGAGCTTCGCTGGCTCACCTACCTGCTGACTAACCTCGGAGAGCCGCCTCGTTCTCCTCCAGTGCTGTACGTAGACAACAAGGCCATGCTGGCCTTGTGTCGGGAGCAGAGACTGGAGCACAGAACGAAGCTCATTGCTCTTCGCTACTTCCTTGCTCGTGAGCTACAGCAGCGTGGTCAGCTGCGCCTTGCGTACGTGTCCTCTCAGGCCAACACTGCTGATATCTTCACCAAGGCACTTGCGCCTTGTGATCATCAGCGCTTCTGGGTCTTGTGCCTACCTTGCCTCACTTGCTCACCCCTTGACCTTGTTTGTACTGTTACATATATATATACACCTGCTCTTACTTGTTTAGCCTTATATATATATGTAATCCTGCATGTGAACTGGCCTTGTGGCCTTGAACTTGTTTTCGGAATGTGTCGTGACGTTGTGATCCACCCTGAGCTTGCTTTGCTTTGCTTGACTGGTCTTGTGACCTCTTGTCCTCCCCCACTTTGCCTATGGGGGTGTGTCAGATTTATATGACTTAGCTGCTGTAGGCTATAGTGGGGTAGCACATATGGGGTACAGCTTTCTAGGGTTTGTACTTGTACCCAAATTTCCCTTAGTCTTTTCATTTTCTCGTTCATTCTCACACCGTAATCCCCTGCAACAAATGTCACTTAGAACTATGTTTATAAAGCGTAGTAATGTAGATCTCAGCCTTGCAGTTTCAATCAAGACTACCAAAAAAATGTTTGCTTCGAAATACACCGAGAATGTGCCACCTCGGCAAAATCCCTGCCATAACGTGTTGAAATGTTGCCAACACGTGCACGCCTGTGACAATTTCGCTAGGTGGGCCAGGGAAGATATCGTCACGCACATCAGCAACGATAATGGCCAACTCACCAGAAATACACATATTGAAGTAAAAATTCATTGGGCGCGCTTAAACAAAGATGATCCAAATTTAAGGTGGGCTTATAATCGACAACCGGCTATAAACCTACTGGTACGATTATTGTCAAACTTATATGCTATAGTCTGTGAAGGCTGTAGTGGGGTAGTTCATATGGGGTACAACTCATTAGGGTTTCCTACTTGTACTCCTCATGCTGCTCAATGCAATCATTCCTCGTTTTTCTTTCACATGGTTTCTGAGCAGGTTCCCTAATGGGAACGATTTTCTTAGGGCCCACCACGATTTTTTTTTTTCTTATCTTGCCCGAAGCGCGCTATCGCGCCTGCCTTACCTGCGCCGTCTCGCGCCCTGCTCTACTGCCGCCTGTAGCGGCACTACCCTAACGGCCCGCGGCGGCCCTGACTTTGCCGCCCGTCGCGGCCCTACCATACGCGCGCGCTCACGCGCCCGCCCTACCCGCGCCGTCGCGCACCTGCCCTGCCCTGCTGCCCGTCGCGGCCCTACCCTACACGCCCGTCGCGGGCCCTGCCTATCCCGCCCGTCGCGGACCTGCCAAACCTGCCAGTCGCGGCCCTGCCCTACCCACTGTCGCGGCCCTGCCCTGCCTGCAGCCGCTGTCGCGGCCCTGACCTGCAGTCGC